GAAAGTGATGCTAAATAGGAGACCATGCTCCGATGAGATTAAACTTGGAATCTCTCCAACGTGCACTTTTTTAAAAAAATGAAAGTCTCAAGAGTTTCATCGAAACCCACTTTATTTTCGTAAATAAGTTCTGATTTTTTTAGTTTCACTTTTCAGTATCACATTTTTGCGTACTCTCTTTTGAGATTCGATTTTCAGTCAAGGCTTCGTATAATTGCGTTTACAGAAAGAAGATGCTTTATCACATTCTGTTATTCAGTTCGGTATGTGAGATGTATTCACCCGATTTCGTTTAAGGTGAGAAAGGACTGGTAAAAGAACTAACGTTTCCATTGAATGGGAGCTTGACGAAATTGGGTGAAAACATCTCATACTACTGATTTACTAATAGACACGAAAAACAATAATTAACTCGAAAAATTAGTTCGTTATGTTTATGCGGCTTTTTAATTTGGTGCCTATTCTCGGCATATCGTTTTTGCGTGCTCTTTCATTTTGCGTGCTCTTTCACTTTGCGTTCATCTGCCGCCCATTTTTTACTCTGTCATCTCCACCATTTTGGCATCGGCCTTTGAGGTCCGAGTCTCGCGTCTGCAGTCGACAGATTGCTCATTCTGCTCGTGGCCGAACTTGATCGCGTCGACAGGTACGAAGGAGTCTTCGTTTCGCAGACCTGCCAACAGTTGGTCTGAGGCTTGTTCGAATCCGAGGTGAGCCGAGACACGAGGCCATCCGGATCTCGGATCGAGGCAGAGACACGCTTTCAACAGCCGGCCTCGGACGACCGAGACCGCGGAGGAAGCAAATTAAAATCGGTCGTCTTACCTCTTCAACTCTCGCCTCCGCCTCCGCCTCCGCCTCGGAGCCACTTTGACCGAATCGCGGCGTCGTCAAGCCCTCCTCACTTTCATCGCCCTCGCCGTCGCCGTCGCCGTCGCCGTCGTTAGACACTGTTTCTTGTCTCACTTCATCTCCGGTTGCCTCGTCGACTCTCGTGGCGGTCCTTTGGGGCGCGACTTTGTCGCTTTCGTCGGCCTCGTCGCCGAGCGATCCGGCCGGCCTTCTCATCGGCTCACGCGTCTCGCCGCCTGTCGAATGTCGACGCTCCAGGCCAACCTTGCGCCGACCAATCAGCGACGACCTCGGCGGATCGAGCTGAGATGATGAAGGCGACGGCGACGGCGACGGCGACGAGGTTGTTTCATGTGCGCGCTCAGACGCTTTGTGAGTCGGCGTTGGCAACAGCATTGCCGAGTTGAACGTCTCGGTTCGAGTCAGTCATCGCCGAGCCGCATGCCACAATGACGCCGTAGACGTTGGTCACGGCAACGTCGACGTTGTGAGACGTCTCGAAGGGAGCGAGTGAAGAAGCGACGTTGCGATAGGCCAGACCATCGAACGCCGACTGGCCGAATGGCCGAGGCGGCGAGGCATTGGGTCTCTCTCTCTCGCTCCTTCGCAACGGCTCATGACGCCGGACGACCGAGGCGTCGACGTCGACGTCGGCGCCGCCTCTCGCGCGAATTGGCCCAAACTGCGGCGAGTCAAGACGGTGGATTTGAGCTGAGCGACGCCGAGTGAAGCCGACCGGTTGTTGGGCACTGACAAAGTGGCCGTCTCTTCCCTCATCCAAGGCAACCACTCTCACCTCGGACATATGATCTCGCCCTGCACTCTTCCCAACTAAGCTCTACGCCCGTCTGCCCTCGGACAACTTAGGGTGGGACAGAGGAGGTGGGGGGGAGGGGGGAAAGCAGATGATGGTGGTACGGCGAGAACGACGGACATCATCATCAGCATCATCATCAGCATCAGCCTCGAGGTGAGAAACAGGGCGCGGTGATCAGAATGAGCGAATGACAATTGTGAAAGTCTACTCTATGTGTATGTGTGTATGTGCGTATTTGTGTGTTTGTGTGTGTGTGTGTGTGTGTGTGTGTGGGGGGAGGAGGCCAGGGTGGGACATGTTGAGGAAAGTAGAATCGGCGTGGCCGGGGGCTGGCGCATCGAAAAGAGAAAAGTCCGCCTCGCCTTAATCCCACAAAATAGGCTTAACCGTGTTGCTTGTCGCGTTGTCAGGCCAGGCGTGGGTCGGCAACACAGGCAACTAGTTACTGTGGCCCATCACAGCCGCAGAAAGAGAGACTGGCCGACATGCTTGGCTCGCCTCATTTGGCACAATTCATACAAACTCGACAGACTACGTGACCGACGAGACAGGCCAAATGCCCAACTCTGGCGGCCTAAGCCGACACACCTTTGCTGTAGACCATCTACTCACATCGCCTCGGCGCCCACAAACACACACACACACACACACACACAGCCATGTCGACCACAAAAACACACATCGCCCACATGCAAGTACATACGCAAACATGCAACGCACCAATATGCATACATTACATATATATGATAAATAACACATCACCATACATACATTCACATATTTATCTTACCATACATGTATGTGTATATATGTTCACACCTACATGGCCGCGTATATTGGCCTATTTACGTCGTACATCCATATATGTGTGTGCACACAGACAATATATGTGTTCTAGTGGCCTATGGATGATATATAGGTTGACACGTAGCAAAATACACACTTTGGCGGGGCAGGAGTGTGAATTGGCGCCAGTGACCTGAAGCCAGCTACAGACAGTACATACGTGTTGTGTAGAGTGACTGTATGAATGTGTCAGCGTGACAATCTCAACTCTTCTCAAATGGAAGCTGCACAAGTTGCAAATCCCCATTCTGCCTGGCAACCGTTGCAACCGTTGCAACCTTGGCCGGGTTGACCGTAAAAGAGGCGGTAAAAAATGGGATTTATTTTCAAAACAAGCACAATCCACTTTCGAGAACAACTTTGTCGGGCCGAAGTTGAGGTGAACCTCGAAGGTTTTCATGACGCCGATCGGCCGGTTCACGATCTGGACAGCCTTCTGGAAGTGAATACACTTTCTCGCTTTCCTCCTCTCTCTGGCTCGCCATAGCATCCACTTTTCCATCGTCCAGCTATCCTCCTTATCCGGTCACTACAGCCAGAATATACTCCTCCGCCGATCCTCTCGTGCCGATGTCCTTGCATCGATGATGCGAAAAGACTAACGTCCATTTATTTATGCAATAATTACGGTACGTCAGGAGACAAACCCAATCGGCCACGAAACACAGTCTAATTCGAGCTCGGATCATGAATAGCTTGACGACAATATCGATACAAAATTGTCTCCTACTTCTTATCGATAAGTAGTTTTC